CATTCTGGAAAACTATTTTGGGGTTTGGTTCATTTTCTGAAAAATGAGTATAATTGTATAATTAAAATGTGTTTGATTCATTTTCTGACAAATTAGTAGAATTGTATAACTAAATATTTTAATTATTTTATTTAGAATATAAAAATAGTTATAATAGTATTAACAAAATGTTATTTATTAAAAATTAATTTTTTTTTTAAAAAAAATGATTTCCGGTGGAACCAAACCTATGGTTTCCGGTGGAAACCAAGGTCGGAAACATTAGTGGTCATTTTTGCTTATGGAACATAACTTCCGTCAAATTTTGGCCGAAGTCATTTTCCTTCAAAATAGCCATATTTTTTCAAGTCAATATAAAATGATTTTCGTTGGCTTGATTTTTCATGCACATTCAAATACTGGAAATCCATAAAATGATTAGAAATTATTTTTCGGGTTTCCAAACACACTGCACTCTTAGTCTAATGTGTTGACTGATGATTAATTTTATGAGATTATTATTATTATTATTATTATTATTATTATTATTATTATTATTATTATTGTTGTTGTTGTTGTTGTTGTTGTTGTTGTTGTTGTTGTTGTTGTTGTTGTTGTTGTTATTATTATTATTATTATTATTATTATTATTATTATGCGGTTTACATTATCTTTTAACCGGTGAATACAAATTATGGGATAGATGTTATGAGGGATTGACAACATAGAATAAAGTACTAAAGTAGGTAACAATAACATGTGAAAATTGGAGTTGTGTTGTGAGTTTGCATCTGTGCATGCACAGAATTTATTCTGGAATTAAAGTAGCTGCCAAACATATCTATACAATCAAATTACTAAAAAAAAATAAACAAAAAATAATAATAATGGAGGAAAAGTTAGCATTCATACTTACGACCTAATTAATTAATTACATCATTCATTGCTGCATATTGCCAAAAAATGGAATCTATTGACATTCTGGTACATCTTGCTGTCCATCCAATCTTGTAATCGGAATATATATGTCGCCGCCACCGTTGAAATTTTGACAATATAATATGGTATCATATGATGCTTATATACTGCAAAATATCATGTTGTGTCATAGATTGGATTTGATAATAGAAACTAAACTAGACAATTAGAGCATTTTGGTGTGTTCTCATATTATACTCTCAATTTTTAGACATTTTTTTGTAGATTCAGTAATGAAAATAATGAATCCTTGTTTGCCACATAAGGAAGTAGAAGTACTGGAATAGAATTTTGAAATAAATAGAACTCATTTCATAATAGAAGAGAGATGAGAGGGGGTTTAAGTTGCTAATTGGAGTTTTTTTCAAGTTTTCTTAAAAAGGTTTCAAAAAAAAAAAAAAAAAAAAAAAAAAACGATGGTGCACGCTCTATGCACCAGCATTGCTTATCCGGCACTTGTACTTGTATTGGGTGGTTGTCAACTGGCCAAGTTTAGTCTTTTTTTAAAAAAAAATATTTTCAATTGAATTGAGTTTTATTGTGGCATGATCATTTTTTGTCCTTCACCAACAAACATATTTAAATGGTATTAATAACGTGAGCATTTTAGTTTATTCAGTTCTAAGTGTTTTAAGGTTCTAGATTTATATGTGTCATTCCACTGTTGCAGAAGCTCAGGTTCTGAAAGCTTTGTTGCGGAGTCGCAGATTGCAATTGAAGAAGACAAGAAACTCTAGTCGTGAATTAGAGATTTTTTTTTAAAAAAAAAAATGATAACGAGTAACCCACTTTGTATGAAAAGACCAAAATGTCCTTGTATTTAATGTCATTTAAACAAGTTTGTCGACAAAAGACAAAAAATGGTCATGCCACAATAATACTAAGACCAAAAGTGGATGTTCTGAGAAAAAAAAAAAAAAAGTTCATTCTATTTTGGTCCTAGATTTATATGTGACAATTCACTTTTAGTATTTTTTTTTTTCAGAACATTATCTTTTGGTCCTACTATTATTGTGGCATAATCATTTTTGGTCCTCCATCAACAAAATCATTTAAATTCCGCAAAATACAATGTCATTTAGGTCTTCAATTATGAATTTTTCAAAAAAAAAATGTATTCGTTCAACCCACTTTGTATAAATTTAGAAAAAAAAATCAAAATGTCATTGTATTTAACGACATTTTAACAATTTTATTGACAGAGAATAAAAAAGTGATAAAGTACAAATAAGCCACTAAACTATTTGGGAAGCAGCAATTAAGCCACTGAACTCAAATAACCCCCAAATAAGCCATTGAACTCGAAAAAAAAAAAAAAAAAAAAAAAAAAAAAAAAAGAGCAATTAACATTTTTAACAAGTTAACTCCATGTTTTTTGATGATTAGATTGCCAAATGTTTATTTTATTTATGTTTTTTTTATTATAATCCACCTACATAGTAATATTTTTTTTTTGAAAACTAAGAAACTTCATTAACTTAACTCAGAAGGAATAAAAGAAAGGAGAGACTCCCTCCAGACTGAGCGTGCATGAACCGCTCCTACATGTTTAGCTAAGGCATGAGCAACCAAGTTGGTGCCTCTGCGTACAATCTTGATGGAATAAGATGAAAACGAATTAAATAAACGTAAACAGGAATCTAAAATAATGCCAAGATACGAACGATAAGAACTGATATCCCGAAAGCTATCAACGAGAACCGAGCAGTCCGACAAAATAACAACGTTGTGATAATTGTGATCCTGTAGCCATGAAAGAGCCTCACGTATCGCCATTGCTTCGGCTAAGAGAGGATCATACGGACAAGAGAGGGGGCCATTTATCGCTGCTAGAAAAACACCTTCCGGGCTACGCACGTAGAAACCGAAAGTTGGGGCGTGTTGGGAGCCATAAAACCAGCGTCCGTACTGCATAAAACTGCATCATGAGGCAGTGATGCGGCGACCTGCTGGATCGTGTCGAGCTGCATGGCGGGCGGTGGTAATGGCAAAGCAGCAGCACGGCCATGAGTAGTATTTAAGGTCCAGGCGGCCCAGGTGCGATGGAACGAGACACAAAGATGCAACGGGGATGGCAATGCGAGGTCCCAAACCGCCATGTTCCGGGCCCTCCATATCTCGTAGAGTATTCCACAAATGATCTTTTAGAAAACCAGCAGATGTTGCTGAGTTTCCCAACCAAAGCTCCACTCACTGCATAAAATCATGATCACCAAAGTTAGGGATTTGGAGTTGTGAAATATTCCACACACGTCTAGCATAAACACAATTGCATAAAATGTGCATAACATCCTCTTCAAGCACACCACAAGCACGGCAAACATTTGGGATCTCCACTCTTCTTATAACCAAGTTAGTAATTGTTGGCAAAACATTTGTGATAGCTCTCCATAGGAATATTTTCCATTTGGGGGAACCTGTAGTTTCCAAATGTTATTCCATATTGCGTCACATGGGGCATTAATTTCACCAAGCCGCCTATAACCGTTTTTGACCGTATATACTCCCCTAATATCACCCATCCAGAACCAATCATCTTTAAACTCCACACACACCGGGGTCTGTAAAATTAAACCAGCATCTCTAGGAATAAATATATTAATATAGTAATATATTTTAAAGTAATTATAATCAAAATAGTTTTGTCTTGTCTAGATCTAAATTATTTTTTATTATTATTTTATAAACAGAAGATCCAGTGAAATAATAATAATAATAATAATAATAATAATAATAATAAATAAATAAATAAATAAATAAATAAATCAATCAATCAAATATAGGGGTGTAAATGAGCCGAGCCGAGCTCGAGCCTGGGTAGGCTCGAGCTCGAGCTCGTTAATGAAGGCTCGGCTCGAGTTCGAGCTCGAGATCGATCGAGCTCAAGAATTGATGCTCGAGCTCGGCTCAAGCAGCTCGATTGTTCGAGTTCGAACTCGAGTTCGATCTTGAGCTCGAGTTCGAGCTCGATTTTGACATTGCATTTGACCTATTTAAAACTTTTGATTAAAAATTCAAACTACTTTGTTTTATCCATACATAAATAATAGACATATTTTAGGGATTTTGAGTTTAAAATTTTAATTTCTAATTGTTATTTTTATATATTATTATGATTATATTACATTATATGATATTATGTATTATATATATTATATATTATATGGCTCGCGAGCGGCTCGACGAGCCACGAGCCTAGAATATCTAGGTTCGGTTCGAGCTCGATTACTAAACGAGTCGTTCGAGCTCGGCTCGAGCTCGATGTTGACCGAGCTCGAGCCGAGCTTTGACCGAGCCGCTTGCAAGCGGCTTGCGAGCTGCTCGGCTCATTTACACCCCTAATCAAATATCGACAAGCCAAAACTATTTTAATTATAATTACATTAAAATGTATTACTATGTAGGCGGATTATAATAAAAAAAACATAAATAAAATAAACATTTGGCAATCTAGTTAACAAAAACCTAGAGTTAACCTGTTAAAAATATTAATTGCACTTTTTTCCTGAGTTCAATGGTTTATTTTCTCTTTTATCTAAGTTCAAAGACCTATTTGATGGTTATTTGAGTTCGATGGCTTAATTGTTGTTTCTCAAATAGTTCACTTATTTGTATTTTATCCCAATAAGAAATTATCATGTTACAATAATACTAGGACAATAATGAATTTTTTTTTTTTTAAAAAGACTAAAAGTGGATTGTTATCTATAAATTTAAGATTTAAAATGGAATTAATTCAAAAAAATAAATTTTACACTTTAAAATATTAAAATAAAAAAGAAGAGAAATCTTCTTTATGGTTAAGCCATAAGATTGTCAAAATTAAATATGCTTACCGCGGAGAATATGACTTTTAAAAAAAAAAAAAATTATTCCGTATTTGTTTTAATGACCGATTAACGAACTTTTATCAGTTATGCCCCACAAAATCTCAACAAAATATTTTTAAAAAAAAAGTATAAATATATTAGCAAATAACTCCATGAAGACACGTGTCCCAGAAGTCCATTTCAGTAAATATAATCAATCAGATGCCCTGTTCCCAGACCTTCATCTCTATAAACTATAAAGCTTCCTTCACTCTCTGCTTCTCACTACCATTACGCACAGAAATATATACTATACATATAGAGAGAGAGAAAGATACGCTTAATATATCCATTTTCTAGAATTCCCATGAAAGATTCACGTATTGATCATTTCTAGAATTCCCATGAAAGACTCATCCGTTGTTGTTCGGCGTAAAAGGAGCAACAAGATCAAGCTTCTCGTCAGCTTCAATGGCGCATTCCGTCGCCAACCGCCGGCCGGGAGGCTGCGGTACACCGGAGGAGAGACAAAGATTATATCCGTTGACAGGAACGTGAGCTTTTCCAGACTGAAAGCCAGAGTGTTGGATCTTCTGTCGCAATCGAATGGAGTCGCCGTGACCTCGCCGTTCTGGATGAAGCTCCATCTCACGGATTCGCGCGAAGAGGAAAGGCCTCTGATCTCAGTTTCATCGGACGAGGATGTTCGGTCCATGGTTGAGGAGCTGGAGCGGCTCGAGTTTCTGGGTAAGCCCACTAGGCTTTGGGTTTTTGTGTGCTTTGATTGTTACGCTTCGGATAACGGGTTTGTTCAAAAGGGGGTTTGCGATGAGGGTTTGGGAGGCGAGAATTTGATGACACCTAAAAAGGGTAAGAAGCTTAGTGATAATTCTTTAAGAAAATTAGTGTTGAAGCAGCAATTGTTAGGTAAACGATCAGATAGAATTAGGTGTTTCAAGGCTGATATTGTGGATGAGAATGGGAGTAGTGAACCTCCAGTTATAGATATAAGCTCTTCTTCCATTATTGAGTCTGGAAGTTTTAGTCCTGCTAGTGAATTTTATAGGGTGAATGTGTTGGATTATGAATATAGGAATGGGCATTTGGTAGAGACTGGGAATTTTAAGAAAGTTTCACTGTCATCCGGGTCGAAATCTCAGGCATTGATTCCAAAGAATGGGAACTTAATTACAGGGTTGAATTGTTTGTCAAATGGTTTCTCCGGGCAGGCTCGCTTGATTTTCAAGAATGGTGATAGGGAGAATATTATGCCTTTTAGTGTAAAGAGCAATGTGGAACGTAATAGATTTTCATCGGTTTCTAGTAACGGAAGTGGCAATCCACCTGCTCAGGGAAGTCAGAGAGTATTGGTTGGAAATCACGGATGCATTCGTTATCATCATTTTGGTTCAAGTGAGACTAGGAACTCTAGGGTTCATCCTTATCAAACTAGAACTCAAGATGTTTTCAGTGGAACGGAAAATTTTCACAGTTTTGGATTGGATGGAAGACCGTATATTGGAAAGTATTACACAGGAATGAGGTCGAGTAAAAACATCTCAAAGCAGTGGTCTATTTCACATCAACAAAGAATTAAGGATGTGGAAGGAAAGATGAACCGTGAATGTGATGAATACAGAAGTGGTCAAGTCTTAGTGAAGCGGGATGGGCCTAAAAAATGTCATTTTGCTCATGACAGCATGGTTAATGACTCTTTATTGACAGTGGATGACTATTCTCGGGCTACTAGTTCTAAGTTAGACTTTTCGCATATTCCTAATACCAAGACACATGAACTTCAACTTCAAAGTTTGCTTCCAGATGTCCTTGGAATTCCTATGAATTCTGACTCTCTTTCTAGTATAAGAGAGTTGAGCTGCAATTGTAAGATTTTGGATATAGGGGCAGGGTGCGAGCCCTTCAATGTTTTTCAGAATGGCACTGCACAAGAGAATGCGACATCTGCTATTGATGTGTCCCTCAACAATCTGTCATTGTCATCATCGTCTATAAATGTGGAACTGCCAAGTTCTTCCCCTGCAAGAAGTGACATTACAAAATCCTCGGTGAAGACTCAATCAAAGGATATGGATCCAATGGATGAAGAAGACCTGAGTTCAGGCCCACCACTCGAAAGATCAAATGGAGCTTCTTCTAACTCATTGGTTAATAATGCTTCTCAGAAGCTAAACAATGATATAGAGGACAAATCCCCAACCGCTTTAAGCACTGATGAAAAGGTATCTTACCAAAGGAAAATACTATGTGTACTCCCACTTTATACTCCCAACTTTTACTCCCACACACAAAATCTTGATGTAGACACTTGTATTGGGACCCACATGAAAAAAAATAGCTTAACAGAGCCCGCCACATCAGGGAGTAAAATTGAGGGAATACATGTAGTAGAACTCTATATATATTCTCTTTGCCAGTGGTTGAGGTAAGGGGAGCAGTAGTTACTGATGAACTAAAATTTTCTCATCTAGCAGGATGATAATGGGGAGGCAAACGAATGTGCAAAGATAAATGGTGCAGTTCCTGCTAATGTTGTTCTATACTGCACTCATGTGGGTAACAGGGGGCTTCAGGTAAGCCAGAGGCATAGTTAAAGTTCGTATGGAAAAACCAATTTGGCCAGCACTTTGCCCCTTAATTGGGCTGGCCCGGTGCGAATGGGGATTAGTCTGAGTATGGTACGGGCTTAAAGGTGCCTCCTACAGTTAGGGCCTGCTCAGGACACCTAATGGCCTGACAAAAAAAAATTCTGTGAGAATTTAATGCATGTCACACTAGTTTTTAGTCCCTTTCTGATTTTCTCGTTTAGAGCATCCACATCAGTGGATATTATGGAGATAATGTCAGATGAATTATCTCGGGTGGGGATAATAACAAGTGTGGGGGGAGTTATTGGTGGAGATATTTCTCCTGCAAATTCAAGGAGAATGCAGAAAAAGAAGAAAAGGAAAGAGAAGAAAAAGGAGGCTGCTGTGCGCGTTTCGCGCACAGCAGCCCGCCCACACGGGCGCGTCAGGCGCGCCGCTGACCCTTTTTTTTTTTTTTTTTTTTTTTTTGTTTTTTAATTTTTGATTTTGTTTTTTTTGTTTTTTTTTCCTCCCCTTCCCACATTCTCTCTCCTAATCACTCTTACATTATCCCCCAATTCTCCCCAACCATTGTGGATGCTCTTAGTTTTTGCATGAATTTCTGACGAGCTTCTGAATTGTTGCAGAGGATTAACAAGTCTGAACTTGAATATGTCAAGGAACTTGGATCAGGAACTTATGGAACTGTTTACCATGGAAAATGGAAGGGTTCTGATGTTGCAATTAAAAGGCTAAAGCCAAGCTGCTTCACTGAAGGTACAGTGGACAACCGATTGGTAAGTACTATAGTTTTCCCAAATTATAGAATTATGAATTTTCATTTATGCTGGCATGTTACTTGTGATGTAAAAATGGTTTTCAGATTGAAGCTTTCTTCATTAGTTTATAGGGGAAACATATTATTTACATTTTACATTTTAAGAGGTGCCACTCTTACCACTTTGGCTCTTCCACAATTGCAAATAAGACAATGTCTTTTATTTTCTCAACTAGATGCACATTTATATCATGGTTTAAATGGAATTTCATTTTCTCTATCAAGCATTTCTTTCAGAATTGGATTTTGACTATTTTTCTGTTTGCTGTTTGTGTAGGTTGCAGACTTTTGGAAGGAAGCTCACATATTAGGTCGACTTCATCATCCGAACATAGTAGCATTGTATGGTGTAGTTACAGATGGTCCCACGAACAATTTGGCAACAGTAACCGAGTACATGGTGAATGGCTCTCTTAAACAAGTTTTGCAAAAGAGAGATAGGTATAGCTTTTGTTTTTACAGTATTTCGAATTTCTATTTTAGTATTTTCACCACTTATATGATTGCATATTCAACCACTTCTTGCCCGCAAGAAATGAAATTTCATTGTTGAATGCTTTTGTTTTTTCCTGTTGTATGAGATTTAGCTTTTGTATAAACCACATGAAACATGTTTTAGGTAGAATGTCAAAAGTTCAATCCCCAACCCCCTTAGATTTGTCATAAATAAGTAAATCACTTGAAGTAGATTTTTCTTGTGTGCGGTTTGAATAGACTTCTTCTCTTATTTAGGGATAAAAGTTGCAGTACATTGTAGTCATATAGAATTCAATTGCATTTTTCGGGTACATAAATAACTCAACCATGTTAGAATAGCAGGGCATATGCTTGATTATGTGTCAAGTTCCTCAGTCCATATTGTTTCCTCGGATCCTAAAGTACATTATACGGAGTATCATTTTGCCCGATTTAATGCAGCATCTATAATGTGCAGAACCATTGATTGTCGGAAGCGATTGATAATAGCAATGGATGCAGCTTTCGGTATGGAATATTTGCACCAAAAGAATGTTGTCCACTTTGATTTGAAGTCGCACAACTTCCTTGTCAATATGAGGGATCCTCAGCGACCAGTATGCAAGGCAATTAACTCCAATTTGAAATTTTGAATATTAAAACACTTCTTTCATTAACCAGCTTGGTTGCCGTGAGTGGCCGTGTAATCTTGTCCCTTAATAGAGGTCGGGAGTTCGAACCCCCTCTCGTACAGAGAAACCAATCTGGCCAGCACTTTGCCCCTTAATTGGGTCGGCCCGGTGCAAACAGAGATTAGTCTGAGTATGTACTGGCTAAAAGGTGCCTCCTACAGTTAGGGTCTACTCAGGACACCTTGTGGTCTGACCCACAAAAAAAAAAAAAAAAAAAAAAAAAAAAAGAAAAGAACACTTCTTTCATTTCTTTGCCTAAATTGTCTGTCGTGTCACCGTCTTACTTCTCTTGTTATCTGTAGATCGGTGATCTAGGCCTGTCAAAGGTTAAACGGAGGACACTTGTTTCTGGAGGAGTACGAGGAACTATACCATGGATGGCTCCTGAACTTCTGAATGGTGAAAGCATGGTGTCAGAAAAGGTTCGATGTTTCTCAATAAACTCTTGAAACATTTCTGTCAAGGTCGCTGCCAACTAACCTTGCTCGCATTTCCATCTCTTTGGAGTTTAGGTTGATGTCTACTCTTTTGGAATTGTCATGTGGGAACTCTTGACTGGCGAAGAACCTTATTCAAATATGCGAGCAGAGGAAATCATATGTACGTTTTCTCACTGCTAGTTTATTGCAACCAAGAACACATACTAATATACTTAAAGCACAGATATGATTGGTAGTGCCATTCTTATCTCAACGGGATATATTTAACCATTAATGATGATAAGATGTTACACATCCCAAATGGAGCCGTTTATACGACAGCTCTGAAAATAACCACTTATCCCCACAGAACCTTTCAAAGGCTAAAACACGGATCTTTTACTGTGAGCATTGAAAACTCAGTTTCCATTCTTCCAAAAGGTTGAACCCCAACCCTAAGGGCCCCCCACATCAGTTTCCATGATGTTATAGGTGACTGCTCTTCTCTAAAGCCGAAAAATGGTAATGGGCAACTTGCCAACTTGTGGTTTACCTCCGCAGAGGCTCTAGGCAATCATTATTGTGTGGACCATGTATGGATCATATTTTGTCTACTGTAAAATAATGTACATTCAGTACAAAAATAATGTATATTCAGTACAAAAATAATGTACATTATATTGTATTCAGGAGATGTACATTATTTTTGTTCTGAGTGTACATTATATTGTATAATATACATTCAGTACAAAAATAATATACATTTAGTATATTAAAAATGTACTTTTTGTTATGGTCCACATAACATTGTATGGACCATGGTCCACACAATAATTTGCCGGCTCCAGGGGCAGGGTCCTTTGGGCTTAGGATTAGTCTGACAAAGCTGGGATCACCTAAGTTTAAAAAAAAAAATGGTAATGGGGTAAAAAAAGAAGGTAACACATGGGATCTTGAATTCTTGATTGCACTCCTAATTCACTTCTACCACTGTACCACAGGTGGTATAATTAAAGGCAGTTTGCGACCCGAAATCCCAAACTGGTGCAATCCAGCGTGGAGAGCCCTGATGGAGAGGTGCTGGTCGTCTGATCCAAAAGCGAGGCCCGCTTTCTCAGACATCGCAAAGGAGCTGAGGGCCATGGCTTTGTCGATGAACATCAAGTGATGACAACAGCCAGGGAAGTTCGTTTTTGCTTCAGAATAAACACTACATACAGTTTGTAAATACCAAATGCCAAGTCAAGAACAAAGACATGTTGGAATGTTTTTAGACGGCTTTCCATCCAATGTCGAATCGAGTTTTGTTCACACGAGTACTATGTTGTTCTGTTCTTTGTCCTGGTTCTGGAAGAGCCAAAGGTGCAGGTGAAGATTTTGTTTTTGTTAAAATCCCACCTGCTTGGAACTACTTTGTTCATAAGTTTATTCTGGATTTTGTTGTGTATTGCAGCCATGGATGTTGTTTCCATGTTGGTAGTAGTATTTGAGTAAAGAACACTTCCAAAACCTCCCTTGTATTCATCGCAAATCATGGCAAATACTATAATAGGTCCAAGAATACATGTTGCTATCTTTTACATAAAAGCAGGTGAATGCATCTTTTGGGAATAGTTTTGTGTGAGATATTTTTCAATCTTTTTTCGAAAGTATTGTAATGGGTTGTAATAAACTAATTATTGTTGTAACTTATGATGTTGTTTCGCGTGGTTGATCTTCGGTGAGCGTCTTGTTACATAATATAAGATAAACAAAGAGAAAAAGTTAAAATGTAAAATTGAGCAGAAAAATACACGGGCCTTCTCATTCATCGGGTAACATTATACTTCATCATACAACATGTAGGATCTTAAAACTATGGCCATATATTTTAATTATTATAACATTATTATTAATAGAGATTTAAAATTTATTATAATGTGTTTAATAATTGTAATGATTCTTAGTATGTACATAATAATAATAATAATAATAATAATAATAATAATAATAACGTGCATGTTGCCACATCATTTTTGGCAAATTATACTGTGGACAGCAGTCCACAATACATTGTGGTCCAGGCATCAAATATGCACTGCAGTTTCATTTCAACACAACTACAGTATCATTTTGATATAACTACAGTTTTGCTGGACAATATACACTCAAAGAGTTAATCAACGATTTGGTCCCTCAATTATTGTCAAACTGTGAATGCAGTCATTTAATTCCTTAATCATCAATTTAGTCCCCGAAAATAATTGTTTTTAGTCGATTTAGTCCCTCCGGTCGTCTTCCGTCAACAAACCGGCGAGAACTCCAATTTAGCAGGGGCATTTTGGTATTTTCTTGTCTTCAACCCTCTTCTTGGCGAACCGGTCATGATAGATGGTTGCGGTGGAGAAGAAAATGGGGTTGAATGAAAATCCGAGGACTTGACAGTGCTAGCTATCAGGCTAGAAAAGGCGAAAGAGTGTTAGCCTGCAAAACCTGAAGAGGAAACCAGAGAGAAGTAAAGCTGGAAGAAGAAGGAGAAAGAAGACTTGCTACACTGATTCAAAGATGTCCGAATCTGAGAGTTCTCCACCAAATCCATGGCCATGTCCTCACTTGCCCGCTTCTCTCTACCTCTTCCATCTCCTTTCTTCTCGCCAAGGTCCTCACGTTCGTAGCTCTTTCGTCGCGCGGCAGCCTGGGCTATGCGAAGCAGCTCGTCTCCCGAATCCCAAACCCAGGAATTTACTCTTATAATTCCCTCATCAGAGGGTTCTTGGAGTCTCAAACATCATCCCCTGAACCCATTTTCATTTTCAAGAGACTGCTTAGGAAAAATTACCCAAGATCAAATACTATCACCCTCGCCTTTGTTCTCAAGTCTTGTTCGATTTTGATGGCGTTTAGAGAAGGCCAACAGGTTCACAAGCATGTTGTACAGTCTGGGCATGGATCCAGCCCCTTCATTCAGACCTCATTGTTGAATTTCTACGCCAAGTGTGAGGAGATTGAGCTGAGCGAGAAGGTGTTCGATGAAATTCCTGAGAGAAATGTGGTCGCTTGGAGCGCGATGATCAGTGGGTATTCCAGGCTCGGGATGGCCAATCAGGCTTTGGATTCGTTCAGGGAAATGCAGAAGGCCGGCATTTCGCCTGATAGGGTCACACTGGTGAGCACCACTTCTCAAGAAGGGAATTGAGAATGATCTTGAACTTAATACTTCATCTTCCTCTTCATCTTCATCTTCATCTTTCCCTTCTCGGCGATCCTCTGTTGCTTGATTTTCCGGTAAATCCTTCCGCTCCTAATTCTTAGTTGGATCTTTACACCGTAAGTAATTCCTAGAGTTTCCGGCGAAGAAACACCATCGGTTTTCGCTCTCCATGATTCCGGCGATCTGATCAGACCAAGAAGAGGGTTGAAGACAAGAAAAGACCAAAATGCCCCTACTAAATCGGAGTTCTCGCCGGTTTGTTGACGGAAGACGACCGGAGGGACTAAATCGACTAAAAACAATTATTTTCGGGGACTAAATTGATGATTAAGGAATTAAAGGACTACATTCACAGTTTGGCAATAATTGAGGGACCAAATCGTTGATTAACTCTACACTCAAATATATGAAATTGTTATTCAGTTTCATTTATACACTGTAGTTTCATTTCAATTCAATTGCAATTTCATTTGATAACATAATAAAAATAATATGTGAAACAGTATCAGTTTAAATACACTATAGTGTCTCTCGTTTTGGATCATGGTTCACAAAGTTTTATGGACCGCGGTCTACAGTAAAATTGTTGTAATTTTTTCTATTTGTTTCTTTTTCTTTTTCAATCAAATATTTAATGCGACAGTGGGCCACAAGTACCATTTTGCTTCTTGAAAAATACTTTTTTCTTTTTTCTTTTTTTTTTTTGAGAAAAATACTTCTTAAAATAAAGAAATTGATGTCTTTGAAATGGTATTTGCGCTCCTATTTATAGGTTTAGGAAGATAGTTACCTCCCACTAAAAGACTTTGGGCATGGAGCATGCTACATAACTCTTACCAACATGGCAAAAGCGCTGTGGACCACGGTTCAAAACGATGTTGACTATTATGAGTTAGAATAATATATTTTATATATTAGAATAATGTATTTTATGTGTTAAAATAATGTACTTTATGTGTTCGAATAATGAAACTTCTAAGGTAATATAATGTATTTTATGAATTTTTTTTTTGAAATGTATTTTATGAGTTAGAATAATGTACATTATACTTTAGAAGGGAAAATGACACTTGTTCTCCCTCTGTTGTTTGCTTATAGCACATTTTCCCCCTGTGTTATGTATGCAACCACTTTATCCCCCTCAATTATTTCTAAAGTGGCTATTTCTCTCCCTCTCCGTTAAATAAATGTTAGGGCTGTTAAAAATGAGGGTAAAAATGATATTTCACTTTTTTAAATGAATATTTGTTAGCTTCTCCAACAAAAAATTACTCCACTCTGACTAATTACAGCTAGTTTCCTTCCTGGTATTTCACTTCCTTCCATTAGAAATTCATATTTTACTGTATTAATGAAAATGTACTCCATAATCCATTATCATCCGTCGACTTTTGCATCCCCTTTTGCTAAAGATAAAATTTTTTTGAAATGGGTGATTTTGAAATAGACGATAAAAATGAGAGTGCCCTGCTCCCGTAATCTTTACTTTGGTATATGTGCTATCATTTGTTTATTTAGTTTAATAGTTGTTTGTTTATGTTTCCATAGATTTGTGCTATCTTTGCTTATTTGTTTATTTAATTTAATATTATTTGTTTATTTGTTTAGCAAAAGGGGACGCAAAAGTCGACGGATGATAATGAATTATGTAGTACATTTTCATTAATACAGTAAAATATGAATTTCTAATGGAAGGAAGTGAAATACCAGGAATGAAACTATCTGTAATTACATAAGGTGGAGTAATTTTTTATTGGAGAAGCTAACAAATCTTTATTAAAAAAATAAAATAAAATACCATTTTTACCCTCATTTTTAACAGCTCTAACATTTATTTAACGGAGAGGGAGAGAAACAGGGTCGGCCCTGGGCAAGTCTGCCCAGGGCCGCCGCACAGGGCCCCCAAATTTTGGGGGCCCCTAATTTAAAAAAAAAAAATATACTATATATATATATCGCAGCTGCCGAGTGCCGAATACAAAGACCCTAAAAATCTCTAATCTAGCGGCATAGTACGTTCGAACAAGCGAAAAACTAATAACTCAAAGAACACAAAGTCTACCCTAAATCCCCAATCTAGTGGTACTGTGGTAGAGTGCAGTCTATACAGAGAGAGAGAGTGAGAGACTACAAGTCTACTGCCTACAACAATTTGAATTTACCTAGGTAATTGAAACAATTCTAATATTTAATTTGATTTACTGTAGTGCTAGATTAGGAATTTTTTTTTTTTAATTGCTAGATTAGGATTTAGGTAAATTAAATTTGAATATTATCAAATTGAAATTGTATTTTTTGCTTTTTTTTTTTTTTGTATTCTTTGCTGTATTAATTTAATTATTTAAATATTTAATTTTATTGTTGATTTATATTCTTAATTTTTTGTTGTTTGACGTCTTTTAGGCAGCACAATTTAATGAATTGATGCAAAAACGACAGACTCATAGACTCAGCTTGTGTGCTACTGATTCTTCAATTCTTTTTTTTATCATACAAACTCTCAAGTTCTTAAATTCTCTTGATAGGTAATTAAAATTACGTATTGTTTCATAATTCTTGTTTATTGTTTTATTTAGATGACTTAATAATTCTGATTTCAGAATAATATATTCAAGAATTTGTTTCTTGATTAAATATTTATTGATAGAGTTTTTAAATAAATTTTTAATTTTTTCTTAGGATTTTATGTCTTCTAGAAAATATTCATCTGGGTTTGAGAAGCGTAAAAAGAAAAGAAGGATTGAGCAATTAACTCAATCCCAAAAGGGAGCTCTTGAAAAATTCATTACAAAAAAACTCAAATAGATGAGCAAAAAGATGATGCCCAATGAAAAATTGTTAGATGTTAATTTTCATATAGAAGATCAAGATGATTGCGAGATTGAAAAAAAATAAAATAATAGTGTGCACAACAATGATAGGTATCACTGTGACAATGAAAATAATAAGAATGTTGATAGTTGTTTAGATGATTTTGCGTCTAAGTGTGCACGGTTCATGTCACTTTTTAAATGATATTTAAGATGTATTTTTTATACAATATTTATGTTTTGAACTTTTGACACAACTATTATTTATATATAAAAATTACTTGAAAAAAGGGGTCCAAATTAAAATATTGTACCGGGCCCCAATTTTTATTGGAACGGCCCTGGAGAGAAATAGCCACTTTAGAAATAACTGAGGGGATAAAGTGGTTGCATACATAACACATGGGGAAAATGTGCTATAAGCAAATAACTTAGGGGAAAGAAGTGCCATTTTCCCTACTTTAGAATAATATAGTGTACAGTATACTTTAGAATAATGTACATTATATTTTAGAATAATGTCCATTATGCATTAAAATAATATATATTATAAGTCATAAAATATACTCCGTATATTGCAGCGAGTCGCGTGAAAAAAAAATAGTTATCTC